GCCCATGGGCACGAGGAAAGAGAACCCCCCCGATGTCCCCAACCTGAGGGAACCCGCCCCTGTCCATCCCTTGCTGATGCCCACAGTCATGTTAGCCCCAGGGCGCAGCCGAGATGCCCTGGCGCTTCCTACAGCCGGGGAACCAGCCCCAAACCCGCAAGGAAACCTCTTCCCGAGGGCTGAAAGTCTCAGGGAAAGCAGAGCTTTCCCCGGTGGCTCAAACCAGCAGCTGATGGGATCATCTACCGCACGGGGATGGCACTCTGCGGTCTGCCGTCGGCCATCCCAACAGCAGGCACGGGATAAGGGACAAAGCGTCCCTGGGACACGTCACGGAGCAGAGCCGTCGCTCTTCGCACCACATCCCTCGGGTCCTCCACTTGCGGTGTGACCCACCTGCCCCGAAGTGTCCTTGAGGGTCCCTCACCTCCTGTGCCCGCGGGAGAGGTAGTCCCGGTTCAGAGAGCAGAGCTGCTGCTCCAGACGGAAGATGCGAAACGCCAGGTACGAGGAGGACACGACCAGGAGGCAGATGCTGGGAGCACAGGAACAAGCACAAGCGCTCAGCGGCCGGGGGTCGAGACGGACGTTCCCAGCGTAGCCCCCCCATCCTCCCCACGCCGTGGCCGCCCTCGGCACACTTACAGCACGATGAAGATCTTCAGAAGCTGGTAGTCGGAAGGTCTCAGCTCCGCCACGCAGCTCTGCTCCACCTCCAGCTCCTCCTCGGTGTTTATTGCACTTTCTGAAATGCAGCCCAGAGTCAGCGGCACGGCACGATGCTCGTGCTCCTCCAGCAACCAGGAGCCTTCAAGCATCAAATAATCCTCCCCCATGGGCTAACGCTGCCTGCACGGGCATTACAGGCGCACGCCGAGGGCTCAGACCCCGCAGGCAGGACACCCCATCCCATCCCCAGGACCCCATCACTGACTCCCTGCCTCAACCCTGCTCATCTGCAAGGCAGAAATCCCCTCCATGAGAGCAGAGGATGGATGAACATGTATTTATGGAGGTTTACGCCCAGCACCGTGCACGGAGCAGGGCACAAACCCACGTCCCCGCGTGGGACGCGGCCCTCACCCGAAACCAGGGGCTCCTCGGAGGTGAAGGAGCTCTCCTTGGTGCTCAGGCTGCTGACGGAGGACCGGTGGATGCACTGGTAGTTGGCGTCCGGCAGCGACAGTGACAGCGAAGCGGGTGACACCTTCCTCCACTTACCCTCGGGGACAATCACCTCCTGCGGGAACAGCCCCGGGTGAGCCGTGCTCCCAGCAGCGGTTTCTCCCGTGAAACCGGCAGCGCCGAGGGTGCACCGGCGCCAGATTCAGACTCAAACCTTACGGCATCTCCATCGAGCACCAGCACATCCAAAACATCATCCTAAGGGGGAGCTGGTCCTCCACGACGGCCCCGTGGGGACACAGGTTCCTACTGCCACAGGAAGGACCTGCCCATGCACCCCACGCCTGCCCCAAATACTGATCGCTGCCTCCTTCACCCCTTGGTTTGAAGCTCAGCGCGGTCACCCGTCATCCTCCGCGAGCCCCTCGCCCACCCCGTGGCTCAGCGTCCCGGTCCCAGCATGCCCCGGAAAGGCACCGAATCAAGTGGGGCGGCAGCCGGCACGGAGAGCGATTCCCCTGCCGGACAGTCCCCGGGGCTGGAGCTGCTGAAGGGCTACGTCCCTCAGAAGCACCGGGCGATGCTTCCAGCCTGGACCACTCCCAATTCACTCCTTGAAAAGCACCTTCAAGCCCTGGCATGCCACCAAGCCAGGGGGGACATCCCACTTGTCGCCTCCTGGTCCTGTGCGCAGGGCCACCGGCCCACGGGGGACACGGCATTTGTCACCTCCTGCACCCAGCCTGATGCGCAGGGTCACCGGTCCATGGAGGACACCCTGCTCAGCGTCCCTGTACAGCCCGGCACGGCCGCAGCACCAACGGCTTCGTGACTGAGCGGAGACAGGGACGGGCCATCCACATTTCACGGAGGACACATCCCGCCGGCTGGGGACACAGCCACCATGGGCAGAGCCGAGCCCCGCCGTGCTCCAAAGGCAGCAGGATGCGGCCCCTCGTGCTCCCTTGGTTACACCGCGGTTCGGCAGCCTTTTCCCTCTCCAGCCTCCAGGCTACAAGTCGTCCCACTCATCCCACGGGTTTTTGGATAATTCAGCCACGTTTCCAGCCTGTTATCCGTGTTCACAGCTCCGAACAGCACCAGCCGGCGGGAGCGGAGCGGCAGCGTTCTGCACATCGCTCCGAAGTTTTGCGGTCTATAAACAGACCCCCAGGACCAACCGGCCAGGTCATCGGCTTGTGCTCAGCCGCGGGCTGTCCAAATCGTCCTCCTGACCCGGCCGTTTCTGCCAAACCGGGGTACGAGGATCCCGGAGGACGAGCTACAAAGGCGACGGCCGCATCCTCATGCAACCTTTCTCGGCAGCGAGGGGAGTGGACCGACTCCGCACCCTGCATGTGGCTGCCAGCCGAACCTCAGCATGCCGGGAAGGCGTTAAACCCACCGAGGGGGCCAGGCGGACGCTCTCCTGCCCACGGCACGAGTTCATGGGGGTCCTTCCCTCTCCCAGAGCTGCCCTGACCCTCACCAGTGACACGGCATCAGGCTCCTCCGTCAGCTCCTTCAAACTCAAGCTCTTCTTACTTGAAACCTGGAGGGGAGAAAGAAAGGGGCGTTACCGGCTGGGGCACCACCTCTCCCTGCTTCAACCTGAGCCAGAAAATTGAATTTTGATGTTTCTGGTGAGTCTATGAAGAGCAGCTGCTTAAAGTTTGCAAGCACGGGGATTTTGGGGATGAAGAAAAGCATCTGGCAGAGGACAGGGCACTGCATCGCTGCCTCCTGCTGCCAAAAACCTTACGGGGCCGTGGCTGAGCCGAGGGCTCCTGCAAGGGCTACTGCACCGGTCACAGCTCCCGGCGGAAGGGATAAACCATCGGGGGGAAAAAAGGGAATATCTGGGCAGAACCGGGCACATTTCAAAGAATAAATTCCCCAGTTCGGCGACGGGGCTGAGTCACCCAAATCGTCGCCCCAGCACAGCCAGCAGCCACCCTTCCAGGCGGGGAAGGGCTCCGGCAACCGCTTCCCACGTGCTTCAAAGGCAGGGAGCAGAGGAGGTCCCCACAACCCTCCTCTCCAGCCCGAGGGCTGATGGATTTCTTCCCTTTTCAGGCTTAATTCAACTTTTTTTGTTTGTTTTTTTTTTTTTTTTACTTTGTACCATTTTTCCTTCCCTTAAACTTTAGACCTGGGGAAAAGGCAGCAATGTGCGGAGTAGCAGAACTAGTATTACTACCAGATTATTTATAATTCATATACACGCCCTGGGAGAGAGCAGAAACTCTGGGCTCTGCCTCCGCCATCCGTGACCCAGAAAAGGCCACCGGCGCCTCATGGGGATGGGACGCCTACGCGACACCCAGGGACAGGCTCTGCCCTGCCAGGGTGTTCAGGAGCACGTCAAGAAACAGCCACCGTCATTTTGAGCTACGAAACGGGGACAGCGGGACAGCCCCCTGCATCGGGCAGAGCTGATGGTGGGGATGCGGCAGTGTCATGAAGTGCTACCGTTCTCAGCGGGCTCCTGCCCCTCTTCCCATGCCTTGCTGCGGAGCAAGGCAGGCGGCAGGGCACCAGGGCGGGCTTTGGGAGCGGTCCAAAGCCTTCGTGGCGATGGCGAAGAGCTTTGCTCCCCGAGACGCAGCCCAAAAGGAGCTTGTGACTATCGAAACGCCGTCGGACACGGGGGCGGAGGGTACCTGCAGGTGCGTGCAGACTCTCCTCAGGACATCGTAGACGCTGTCGCGGGAGATGAGGGACACGAAGATGTACTGCAAGAGAAAGAGAGAAGCTGCCGGGAGACATTCCCCCCCATCCTGAATCCAGTTCCCCACAGGCAGGGAACAGGCAGAGACGTCCTGCCCTTGAATTTCCCCTCCTTCGGGAGCCACATCCCCCCCCCCGCAGGCATCTCCCCGCAGAGTTTCCCTGCTGCTATTTTTGCAGCCTGCTAAAACCTGGACCAGATTTTTTTGGGGCCGGTTTCGCTCGGCTGCTGTCCCCAGGGGACCTCCCGCGCTCAGCCCAGAGGGATGCGGCAGCAAACAGGGCTAGGAGCGACCAAAACCATCCCCACGGATCAGCACGAGGGGACACGGGGCAGCGCTCACTCTCGCCCGATGCAGAGCCCACGCAACGTGCAGAGCAGCCTTGCAACGAGCTCGCTTTGAACGCCCAAATCCTGCCTTGTCCTACCCCCTGCTAAAATCCCGCAGGAGTAACCCCCCTCCCTTGGAGGGGACGGGCAACACACGCTGCCACGAGCAGCACCCAGGCGGGCGAGGACTCGGACACACCGAGCAGGACTACGTCAGCTCACTGCAGCCGACAACACCCAACGTGATTTAAAAGCTGGAAATTCAGCCCCTTAACCAAGTTTTCCGCCAGCTCGGGTTGAACGCCAGCCCAATCCCTTCCCCTGCTCGCGTTTAAGGAGTTTAAAGGTTTTATTTGAGCCTGGCAGGGATTTGTCAGGCTCGGCCGAGTTTCACTTGGGCTTTGCTTCGCTCAGAAACAAAGTGAAATTCAGAAACAAAAGCAAAGCCGCGGTGTTTGCCCTGGCTGGCTGCCAGCACGGAGAGCAGTGCTCGCTTCCCAACCAGCCCGCGCTTTCAGCCGGGGATGGGAATCGCTTCGTTCCCTGTTCTCCAATCCCAGCCAACTCGGACCAGGGCGTCCCCCGGCTGCAGCGAGGCCGGGTACCGATGCTCGAAGCGCCAGCGTTACCTTTCTGCTGGCGTTGGTGGTGATGGCCAAGCCGTTGGGCAGCAGCCGAGCCGTCTTGTGCTTTTTTATCAGCTGTACGGAGACCACCGGGATCACAACCTGGAGGGCAAAAAGACACGGGGACGGGCAGGGATGGGCGCGGCGCGAGCTCAGGGAGTTTCTTTCGCAAGGCGGAGGTTTAACGCGCATCGCAATTACGCCCCAAGCAGAGCGGCGACGCGGGGATTTGGCATTTCCCAGAGACAGCTTGGTTTTTATTAAAGGTCACGGCATCCCCCCCGCGTTAATCTCGGCTCGGAGGTGGTTTCTACTCGATCAAAACGGCGAGGACACGGGGAAAGCGTCGTCCAGTGAGTCTCCCTAAGACCCATCACGAGAGCCCCCCCTGCAAGCCCAGGGAGGGTTAAAAATAAGGCAGGATGTAATTTATGGCAGAATAACTTCGTTGAAACCCCGTACTTCCATCAGATATTTGTTTAAAGCGGCTGATATAAATAATTCAGTTCTTCAGCCCAGTTTTAAAGGAAGTCGTCTCTCCCCAAGATCCCCGTCAGCCACAAGACCAACAGGGAAACATCAGATTGTAAATCAAGAAGAAAAGCCAAGAGAGATTCAGATTCTGTCGTGTGTCGTCCCCCCCCAACCCTTTGATCTTCCTTCAAACGCCGTTGTGGCTTGTAGGAGGTTTTGCATCAGGGAATTTTAAACCAAACCAATGTTTGGTTTCCCCAGGCAGATCCCGCAGGTGATCGGAGGGGGAGGCACAGCCGCGCTCCCCTTCGCATCAGAGGCTTTTGACGGCGATTTTAGCGGTATTTGGGTGCGGGAGGGGGTAAGCGGGCTGCGGCGTAGCCTGGGCTACGAGCCCTACGGGACCGGGGTGGGCTGGCCCCCACGTTACCTTGATGTCCTTCCCGAAAAGGTTTGCGTAGAAGCAGAGCCAGTTAGGGGAGATGTAAAGCCTTCCCTGGATGAGGATGTCTCTCTGGAGCGCGCAGGAACAAACTGCAAGGCAGAGAGAGGGGCATGGCAGACCGTGTGCCGGATCCTGCCGCCCCCGTGCCCGTCCCACGCCGCGCCACCCACCTTTCAGCACGCTCTCCTCCGTCGGGATGTCCTTGAACAGCTTGTGGTACTGGGAGTTGTACTTGCTAGCAGCCTGAAAATGAAGCAGAGCGAAGTTATCCGGTGACCTTGCTGATAAGGAGACCCCAAAAAAACCCTCCCTCCTGCAAAAAAAAAATAATCTCCCTCTCCCCACACCTGGGACCGGCGCAGCGGGGTCCCACCGGGCTGGGAACAGCAGAGCCGAAGGGCTAGAGGAGGGTCGGATGATCCGGCACCCAGCAAACGCTGTGCCATCCTCCCAAAGAAACATTTCCCCTAATTTCTAGAGTTTATCTAAGGAGGCTGAGCCTCTGCGAGGAGCCCATTTTCTCCCAGGCTCATCCGCAGGCAACTTATTTTGCCCGACGGTTTCTCTCCTCCTCCTCCTTGAGCTCTTCCCTTATTCGGGGCACGGTGACAACACTTGCTTTGCGCCCATCGCGCCGCGCCATCCAGCTATTTATATTCCCGGTGCCTCTTCAAAGCCTGCTGGCAGCCGCAGCGGGCGCCTCGGCAGGGTCGCCCTTAAATAATTCTCTATATAAGTTAAAGGCTCCGAATCAGTTTAACGCTTTGCATTAAATCCGCTCAATTAGTCCTGTAAGGCAGCGCAGGCAGATTCGTGCCCCCTGTGCTGGAGGAGGCAGGGCCCCAGACCTCGGGGCGCTCCCCGGGGACGCGGCTGTCCCCGTGGCAGTGACGGCTGCCACCCGAAATCCAAGGGACGAGGCGCTTTGCCAGGATGCGGAGAGATCCAGCGCAGCTCCAAGGGCCCCGGGGCAGCAGGGCTGGTTTGCAGGCAGCACCGCAGGCAGAGCCCTCCTGCCCGCGGTGACAAGGTCACCTTTGCTCCGTGCACCTTGTCACCGGCTGAGCCAGGCCGTAAGAGGATCAAGGCTCAGCATCACCTGGGGTCGGCTTAGACACCCCCCGGAGAGACACCGGGATGGTGGCGGGTGCCGGTGGGAACGTTTCGGGGGGACACGGGGGGACTGTGGCATCACCTCCAAGCCCCCACCAAGAAACAGCCGCTGGCCCCAGCACAAACCCGTTGCCAACCCCTCAACCCTCCCAGATGCCTCTGAATAATCGGCAAAATGTTTTTCTCCTCCATCTTCTTCACGGGGAAAGGCAAAACGCCTCTTCCCTCCCCTCCTTCCTCTTCCACAGCCTCTCTTGTCTGTAGACAGATCAAAGAGCTCTACTTTGGGCACAGTTTGAACAAACAACAAGGTTCAAACGGAGGGGAACGGAGCCGCTTGCGGTTAAGATTTCCACCTTTTCCTTTGCTCTGGATGGAAAAACCTGAAAGGGTTTGCAGGGCAGATCACAGGCCACAAGAAACCCCCATCGGCTCCCCTGAAAACGCAGGCAGGAGCCTCTGGGGTGGCTCCCGGTGCCACCGCGGCTTCACCTCCGGCTCCCGCAGCCCACGTTTGAGACCCCGGGCGGGCTTCTCCGTGGCAAACGGCCAGGGTCAGGCCACAACGAACCAGCCCGTCCGCTCACAAAGCCAAAGACTTACCACTTCCCGGTGGCATTTCTTGATGTCTTCTGCCTTCAGGGCTTCATTCAGGTGGAGGCTGGAAGGAAAAATAATAATAATCAGGTAAGTGAAGAGCCCCAGGTCTCTCACCCGCTCCTGAAAACACGCGTACTGCAAGAAGAGACACGGCAAGATGTAGAGGACCGAAGAGAGACCCCGGGAAGCCACATTTTGGGTGTCTCAGCAATTTATCGTAGCATCAGGCATGTAGGGACATCACTGAGGTTAAATAATGGCTGCAGGAGAAGGCTGATCTCTGTCTGGCATCGGCCTGATGGCGAGCCGGTCCACGCCATGGTGGAGGCACCGGCGCCGGGGTGCCCGTACCCAAAACACACCCTGGCATTGGGGGGAAGGAGCCCAGAGCTGTCCCTGGCAACAGCCTGGGACAGGTTAGGAGCTGGCGATGGGCAGCTTCGGATGGGTCAAGGTTTCCCCAGGGAAAGCACAAATGGGAATTTGGGAACGTGCCGGGGCAGGAGGATGGACTCAGCTTTGGCCGTGCACGGGGGCATCCATCCGCATCCACCACACAGGCAGATGAAGGGAGAAACCACAGAGACAGTGAAATCCTCCCAACAACCTCAGCAGCGGGAATACCGGTCCCCTTCCCCAAATCCCTCTTCCCCTCCCTGCTTTTATAGACCAAATATTTCAGGGCGAAAACAAAGAGGGGACCCCCTGTGCCCACTCCCAGCTGGTGGGCTGCATTTGGGGGCTCGGAGGCAGCGGGGATGCTGCAGGAGATAGAAACAGGAGGAAAAAGAGCAAGTACTCGACCGCAGACCCCGGGATGCCGCAGTGACGCTGCCCCTCACCTGCCGTCGAGGGGATCCAAACTCTTCTCCTTGTGCGATGCCTCCAGTTTGTCACGGCCGTGCATGGGCTCGGGGCTCTTCAGGGGAGCTGCTTTTTCATGCATCGGTTTGGCGCTGCAAGGAGAAGCCCGTTAGCCCCCGAGGGGAAGGGAGAGAGGGGAGAGATGCATTTCGGAGCCGTAAATCCATTACCTTCAATCCCCATCCGCACAGAGACGTTTGTATCTCTGCCGCTCAAGGACAGCAAGAATATTTCTGCAATTTCTCAAGTCACTTGGAGGAAAAAAAAAGGGCATTTCCTGCCAGGAAGGAACTCCCCGCACTCGCAACCGAGGCGGCGGGTCCCTCCCCGCCCCCCCTCGGATAACACCCTCCAAAGCAGAGCCTCCTCCCGGGCCACCGTGCTCAAGAGACGGAGGCTGGGATGGGAAAAAAAAATCACAGGTCTACAAAACTCCCTGGGGTGATGGAGATTTCAGCCAGCGAGGGCCAGGGTCTGCTCATCTGGGTCGGCAAAACACCGTCTTCCCAGGGCAGAGCCCGTGCCAAAGGCACCACCTCCCTCCTCTAATCGCTCCCCTCTCGTTAAAGCCTGTTATTTACTATCATGAGTTTTATCAGAGGCGCTTATCGGCCGCGACAGGTAAAGTAAACACGCTCCCAGCACCGTGCAGGGAAGGTTATCACCCAGCGGGCCAGAAAGGTGACGCTTCCGCCCTCGGCAAACCGCAACCAAAGACTGCCATGCCATGGCGCTTCTGGCACCGAGAGCCAAAGCGGAGCGCGATGCCAGGGCATCCACGCCGGAGCAGCGATCCACGGGCTCCGGCGGCTGGGCAGAACCGGCAAACAGCCACCGGACCTACGGAGAGGAAATTATTCAAGGGAAAAGAGCTGGGCTCAACGCGCAGGGGGTGATGCCAGAGCAGGTGGGGGGCGAGCAGGACGGCAGCGGGCAGGATGAGCGCGGAGCTGGAGCGCATCCCGCTGCCCGCAGGGACGATGCCGTGGTGGTGCGGCAGAGCCCAGATGGAGAAGCCAGG